AACAATAGCATCAGCAACCAGTGGAGCTGAAAACTTAACCTTGGGATGGAAATACTGTGTCCAACTTTGGAGTCCTCAGCACAAGAAGGACATAGACCAGTTGGAGTGGGTCCAGAGACTTGGGATGGAAATACTGTGTCCAGCTTTGGAGTCCTCAGCACAAGAAGGACATGGACCTGTTGGAGTGGGTCCAGAGGAGGACCACAAAGATGATCAGAGGGCTGGAGCAGCTCTCCTATGAGGACAGGCTGAGAATCATAGAATCATAGAATCGTCTAGGTTGGAAGGGACCTTAAAGATCATCTAGTCCAACCATCAACCTAACTCTGACAAAAAAATAAATAAAAAAACCCAAAAACACAGCAGTAAACCATGTTCCCCAGCACCATGTCAACCCAGCAAAAACACATCAGTAAACCATGTTCCCCAGAACCATGTCAACCTGTCTTTTGAACACCTAGTTGGAGTGGGTCCAGAGGATGACCACAAAGATGATCAGAGGGCTAGAGCAGCTCTCCTATGAGGACAGGCTGAGAATCATAGAATCATAGAATCGTCTAGGTTGGAAGGGACCTTAAAGATCATCTAGTCCACCCATCAACCTAACTCTGACAAAAAAATAAATAAAAAAAAGCAAAAACACATCAGTAAACCATGTTCCCCAGAACCATGTCAACCTGTCTTTTGAACACCTCCAGGGATGGTGCCTCAACCACTTTTCTGAGCAGCCTATTCCAATGGTGGATAACCTTTTCCGTGAAGAAATTTTTCCTAATATCTAATCTAAACCTCCCCTGGCGCAACTTGAGGCCATTTCCCCTTGTCCTATCTCCTGTTGGGGTTGTTCAGCTCGGAGAAGAGGAGGCTCCAGGGAGACATTATAGTGGCCTTCCAGTATCTGAAGGAGGCGTACAAGAGATTTAGATTAGATGTGAGGAAGAAATTCTTTACTGTGAGGGTGGTGAGACACTGGAACTTGGTTGCCCAGAGAAGCTGTGTCTGCCCCATCCCTGGAGATATTAAAGACCAGGTTGGATGGGGTTTTGAAGGACCTGGTCTAGTGGGAAGTGTTCCTGCCCATGGCAGGGGGTTGGAACTAGATGATCTTTAAGGTCCCTTCCAACCTAAACCATTCTATGATTCTCTGAAATACATGGGGTTTTAATTATCTGCAGCTCACCTTCACTTGAGGTGAATGAATGTCTTCTGTGTGGTTGTAGTATCACCACCACACTCCGTGCCTCTCCAGTATAACGCACTCTGATGCAGACAGGAAGGATGGGTATGTAAGTTCATGGTGTGCGAGCAATTAAAATGCTCTGCAATTAAAAATCATCTGTGTCATGAAATGACTTTTTCTTTCCTGTTGGTGACAGGAATAGGTATTATACTTAGCTCAAAGTGTTCCAGAAACTAGAAGAGAACAACACAGAAGGTACCTGGACATGGCTTCATGTCTTCTATGATTGCCTCAGTGGTGTGAAGGACATCTGTAGGTTCCCCTCCTATACCTGTAATCATATTTGTTTGACTGTTAACGGCAGCAAAGACCACTAGTTTCACAAGGCTGGGTGTGCTCCTGCAGAATTTCTCATGGTCTTCTCCAAAACGCTTTGTCCCCCAAATTTCTAGGGTTTCCTTTCCATCTTTTTGCTCCTCTCCCAGTTTTCTAGGCCATTTTCCCCCTCCAGATACCACAACCCCAAGCATTACGCCTAATTTTACAGCACAGGAAAAAGCCATAGGACTGTTGGAACTGAGAAGGTCTCCCAGGGAGACCTTATAGTGGCCTTCCAGTAGCCAGGAAGGATATATTCCAGGAAATATCCTGGGCCAAACCCACCTCTGGCACCTACAAGTTCTGAAAGGGGTGCACAGAACAGGTACCACCTGGCCCTCCTTCATACAACAACTCCATCTGAAGTTGGACCTGTCTGGAAGAGAGATGTTTCAAATGCTCATGGCCAAGAATGTAACACAATGGGACAAGAAAGACATTGAGGTGCTGGGGCATGTCCAGAGAAGGACAACGGAGCTGGTGAGGGGTCTGGAGCACAAGTCTTGTGAGGAGCAGCTGAGGGAGCTGGGGTTGTTCAGCCTGGAGAAAAGGAGGCTGAGGGGAGACCTTCTCGCTCTCTCCAACTCCCTGAAAGGAGGGTGTAGCCAGGGCGGGGGTCGGTCTCTTCTCCCAAGGAACAGGCGATGGGACAAGAGGAAATGCTCTGAAGTTGCAACAGGGGAGGTTTAGGATCAATATTAGGAAAAATTTCTTCACGAAAAGGGTTAGGAAGCCCTGGAACAGGCTTCCCAGAGAAGTGGTGGAGTCACCATCCCTGGCGGTATTTAAAAAACGTGTAGACGTGATGCTGAGGGACATGGTTTAGTGGTGGATTTTGTCAGTGTTAGGTCGATGGTTGGACTCGATGATGTTAAAGATCTCTTCCAACCTGGACAATCATACAATTCTAAGATGAATGAGCAAAGACTTCCCTGTTACTTCTCTTCTGCACCCCTCAGCAACACCCCCCCCCAACCACAACAACAAGGCTCTGCAGCCTGAAAAAAAAAAGACAAAAAGACCACAAAGATGATCAGAGGGCTAGAGCAGCTCTCCTATGAGGACAGGCTGAGAATCATAGAATCATAGAATCGTCTAGGTTGGAAGGGACCTTAAAGATCATCTAGTCCAACCATCAACCTAACTCTGACAAAAAAATAAATAAAAAAACCCAAAAACACAGCAGTAAACCATGTTCCCCAGCACCATGTCAACCCATCTTTTGAACACCTCCAGGGATGGTGCCTCAACCACTTCCCTGAGCAGACTATTCCAATGCTGGATAACCCTTTCTGTGAAGAAATTTTTCCTAATATCCAATCTAAACCTCCCCTGGCACAACTTGAGGCCATTTCCCCTTGTCCTATCTCCTGTTGGGGTTGTTCAGCTCGGAGAAGAGGAGGCTCCAGGGAGACATTATAGTGGCCTTCCAGTATCTGAAGGAGGCGTACAAGAGATTTAGATTAGATGTGAGGAAGAAATTCTTTACTGTGAGGGTGGTGAGACACTGGAACTTGGTTGCCCAGAGAAGCTGTGGATGCCCCATCCCTGGAGATATTAAAGACCAGGTTGGATGGGGCTTTGAAGAACCTGGTCTAGTGGGAAGTGTCCCTACCCATGGCAGGGGGTTGGAACTAGATGATCTTTGAGGTCCCTTCCAACCTAAACCGTTCTATGATTCTCTGAAATACATGGGGTTTTAATTATCTGCAGCTCACCTTCACTTGAGGTGAATGAATGTCTTCTGTGTGCTTGTAGTATCACCACCACACTCCGTGCCTCTCCAGTATAACGCACTCTGATGCAGACAGGAAGGATGGGTATGTAAGTTCATGGTGTGCGAGCAATTAAAATGCTCTGCAATTAAAAATCATCATGAAATGACTTTTTCTCTCCTGTTGGTGACAGGAATAGGTATTATACTTAGCTCAAAGTGTTCCAGAAACTAGAAGAGAACAACACAGAAGGTACCTGGACATGGCTTCATGTCTTCTATGATTGCCTCAGTGGTGTGAAGGACATCTGTAGGTTCCCCTCCTATACCTGTAATCATATTTGTTTGACTGTTAACGGCAGCAAAGACCACTAGTTTCACAAGGCTGGGTGTGCTCCTGCAGGATTTCTCATGGTCTTCTCCAAAACGCTTTGTCCCCCAAATTTCTAGGGTTTCCTTTCCATCTTTTTGCTCCTCTCCCAGTATTCTAGGCCATTTTCCCCCTCCAGATACCACAACCCCAAGCATTACGCCTAATTTTACAGCACAGGAAAAAGCCATAGGACTGTTGGAGCTGAGAAGGTCTCCCAGGGAGACCTTATAGTGGCCTTCCAGTAGCCAGGAAGGATATATTCCAGGAAATATCCTGGGCCAAACCCACCTCTGGCACCTGCAAGTTCTGAAAGGGGTGCACAGAACAGGTACCACCTGGCCCTCCTTCAAACAACAACTCCATCTGAAGTTGGACCTGTCTGGAAGAGAGATGTTTCAAATGCTCATGGCCAAGAATGTAACACAATGGGACAAGAAAGACATTGAGGTGCTGGGGCATGTCCAGAGAAGGACAACGGAGCTGGTGAGGGGTCTGGAGCACAAGTCTTGTGAGGAGCAGCTGAGGGAGCTGGGGTTGTTCAGCCTGGAGAAAAGGAGGCTGAGGGGAGACCTTCTCGCTCTCTCCAACTCCCTGAAAGGAGGGTGTAGCCAGGGCGGGGGTCGGTCTCTTCTCCCAAGGAACAGGCGATGGGACAAGAGGAAATGCTCTGAAGTTGCAACAGGGGAGGTTTAGGATCAATATTAGGAAAAATTTCTTCACGAAAAGGGTTAGGAAGCCCTGGAACAGGCTTCCCAGAGAAGTGGTGGAGTCACCATCCCTGGCGGTATTTAAAAAACGTGTAGACGTGATGCTGAGGGACATGGTTTAGTGGTGGATTTTGTCAGTGTTAGGTCGATGGTTGGACTCGATGATGTTAAAGATCTCTTCCAACCTGGACAATCATACAATTCTAAGATGAATGAGCAAAGACTTCCCTGTTACTTCTCTTCTGCACCCCTCAGCAACACCCCCCCCCAACCACAACAACAAGGCTCTGCAGCCTGAAAAAAAAAAGACAAAAACCAAAAAAAACCAACCAAACAAAACCAAGAAAATCAGCTTGTCCTAATTATTTCATTCGTTTTGGTGAACATTTGTTTGTGGCCACGGTTGCCCTGCCAGGAGAAAAGGGGTTCTGTGCGCTCAGCCCCCCCAGCCAGCACCATCCCCCCCGGGATTGGGACCATTTTTTGGGGGGGGGCAAACACGGGAGGAGGCCGGGGTGGGGGGGTCCCGGGGGCGGAGATGGGAAGGCGGGGTGTCGCCGAGGAGGAGGAGGAGGAGGAAGAGGCGGCGAGGGCAGCCCCAGCGGGGCGGGGGCGGTTGCGGGCGGGCAGCGCAGCGCTGCGCCGGGACTGCGCGGGCGGAGCCGAGGTTGCGCGGGGCTCGTAGAGTAGACGTGCCGAAGCCGAACTGAGCCACGCCGGGCTAATCCCAGCCCAGCCGAGCTGGCCAAATTGCTCGGATAGCAGGTACAGCCGGCGGAGGGAAGGGGCGGGGGTTGCGCGGTGTCCCGCGGTGTCCCGCTGCGCGGTGATGTGCCGGAACGGGCGCAGGGGGCGCGCAGGGCGGCGCGTGGGGCGCGCAAGGGGTGCGCAGGGCAGCGCCGGTCGGGGAGCGCAGGGGGTGAGCGGGGCGATGCGCGCAAGGGGTGCGCAGGGCAGCGCCGGTCGGTGCGCGCAAGGGGTGCGCGGGGCGCACGAAGCGTCTGCGGGCAGAAGGTGCGCAGCGGCGCAGGGACAGCGAGGAATTTTGGGGCACTTCGGTACCGCTGGCATCTCGTTTTACCTGGGGTTCAGGACAGTCTCCTCCAGCTATCACTTCTCCTTCGTTAAGGGATTTTAAGGGTTTCAACTTGAAATCTAACCAGACAGTTCTTTTCTTTCCTTTTTCTTTTAGATTTTTTTTTTTTTAAGTAAGAAGAGTTTAAATTACTTTCATGTTCTACACCTGATGTGCGAGTGTTTGTGGTTTCATAATCACATTTTCCTGCCTTTAAAAAAAAAAAAAAGTGTTGTTTGCTCTCCCATGTGACTTCATGCAGTACACAGAAGAGGGGAAAATGAGAAAAACAATGAAAACTGATGATAACCAAAGCGTTATTCAACACAGTAAACAAACGGGGGAAAATAGAGAGGGAAGATACTTTCCCCTGCTAGGTCCTGTGATGTTTTGTAGGTGTTTCTTGGTTACAGCAGTATGTAACAGGACAGCCAGATAGAAGTCTTGGTTTACAGGAGATGCTGTGATCTCAGTAGCTGGATATATATCATTTTCGGATCGAATTTGAAATATTCTACAGACTAGCGCTGCGTAAGCTTGAAAGCAGAATTGAGCGGTAAAGAGAAATGAACTCTCTCCATCCCTCCTCCGCTGAGGGAGTGTTGAGAGCTGCATTTCCTTTTGAAGGAGGGGACTCGAAAACCCAGCCTGGCTGCTGGGTCTTGAGAGCTGGGTTATGTTCCCTGCGTGCACGTTGAATGCTGATGAAGTTCAACACTTGGGTGTAATCGCTTCCTTTTTAGTTGTAACTACAATGCAACTGAACTAACTTACCGGCTGTACTTTTCTCTAATCTCCCCTAGTGTGATACTTTGCAGAGGTGGAAAGCTTTTTTAAGGGCTCTTTTTTTTGTTTAATTTCCACCGATGAAACAACAGTAGCAAAGAAAATAACTTCAGCAGCTGAAAGCCACTCAATTGAGTCATGCTAATAGCAGATTATTTAGTAGGGTTACTAGGGCAGGAAGAGATAAAGTTTCACTGAACTTGTTATAAAAAAAAAAAAAACAACACAAAAGGCTGGGGGGAGGGAGAAGCAGAACTATTTGTGGATATGCAGTGAATAGGGCAATGTTCTGACTTTTGTATTTTTGAACAGTCAAATTCTTGAAGTCCTGAAGTGCTTTTTATATTTCTTTTATTTTATCCTTCTTTGTGATTGAAGAAAGGACTCCACATCCCATTTGAGGCTGCCAGGCATATTTGAGTTTCTGGGGAATGTGCTTTAGGAGCCAAGGCGAGGGCCCAGCAAGGAGCACCTGCTCCAGGGAGGTTCCTGTCCCACCTGTGGTGGAGCAGGGCTGCATTCAGCTGGAGGTTTCAGATGGCCTCCTCGGCCAGCTGCTTTCCTGGAGCTCACAGCTCACGGTCCCATTGAGCTGCTGTTGGCTGAAGAGTTGAATCTGGACCCCAGTGTAGACATGTTGTTGCATCTATCTCTTTTTTTTTGGTATCTAGGCTGGACATGAGACTTTAATGTCCACCAGCCTTCGTTTGCCAAAGCTCCCTGAGCCATGCTGAACCCCTCATTTTCTTCGCATGACCTTCTGGCCAAGCCCTTGGAGGACACATGATGGATGAAGCAAGTAACGCTCAGCCTCTGCTGAGGTTTCTGGCTTGAAAGACTCCCCTGCATTAAGATGATGCCACAGTTGCACGGCCATAGGCAATGCAGAGTTTAGTTAGACTTTCTCCTCTCTTCTATGCGATCCTAGGGATTTTTTTCCAAAGCCTTATTGAAGATTCAGACCCTTCTCCTGAACCTCCATCCTGCATCTCAGCAGCCCCTCTGTACCCAGGCTGTTTTTGTAACCACACTGCTACACTGGGTAAAACTTAAAACTTTTCTTTTCTTTTCTTTTTTTTTTTCCACACCAAGGAGAGCTATGAACAGAGAGTTGTTACGCTGCCAGGGTGGAGCTAACTAATTATTTTTTTCTACCTCAAGTGTGTTTCCTTTCAAAGAAAGTCACTCGGTTGACTCTCATCAAAGCTTCTCACAGATGCACTGCGTGCCTCTCCGTCCCATCAGAGGTGGAAGGCTTCAAAGGAAAGGCTTAGAAGAGGGAGAGATGAGGAAAGAGGGATGGAGGGAAGGAGAGCCCCAGCAGTTTAGCCTTCCAGCATGACAAGTTCTTATTTTTCCTCCTTGGCATCAGGTTAGTCTTTGTACATCCTCCCGCTTTGTTCTGAAGAAGTTGATACCTTGAACGCAATTTCTGATGGCAACTTTTTTTGGTTTCTTCTTTATTGTCTGGGTTTAATTGCAAAGAGTTCTGCAGCAGCCTTGGATGGAGATGAAGGACTAACCACCCTCCAGGGCTTTGTCAGGAGGGCTGCTCTATAGGAGCTGCTCTTGGCTTTTTACAGATGTGTTTGTGGATCTAAGTTTAAACACTTGGCTGGGAATTCTGCTGTTGCTTCCCACTTTGCAGAAGCCAGGATTTGGGTGAGCAGAGTCTTGTTCTTTGCCTAAGCTTCGTAAAAGTGATTCTCGAAGTAGAGAAGGAAGAGAAAGTTGATACGGTAGCATGAGCATCCCAAACCTGTACGTGTGAAAGCATCTATAGGACTAAGCAGAGCTTTGATCCTGCGATTGCCAGTACCTACGGCTTAGAGTGCACGCACAGTTCCTTCACAGGGTTTCTCACGTGCTCTCAGCCTGTTCTCACGTAGAAACGTTCACTGGATCATGTTCATGATTGGCATCAAAAGGCCTGTGAGCTCTCCGTGACAGTTTGTTTCCATTCCTTGGTGCTGCTCTCTCTTTGCCTTCACTTGTGCGCGAACCAGAGCATCCGACTCCGGGTTGTAGACCCGGCTGGAAGGAAAACATTGGCAAAGGCAGCGTCAACTACAAACCCTTCTCTGTAGCCAATTGCAAAATGCTGTCTGTAGCACTGCTTGTTCTTCTTAATTTTGTGGTTTATCAGGCCTGCTGGAGATTTTTAATCCGTCACCACCAACCAGATTGCATCCAGCGGTAAAGATAGCATTTATTAACTGGGATGGTGTGTGTGTGGGACAAACCCAGATTGCTTTCCAAATTACACACAGCTGTTTTAGCAACGGATAATTCCTCTGGTTTGTATTGTACCTTGTAGCAACACCATTGCCTTGGGGCAGGATTGTGCCATCTCGTTTTGGTGATATTTTTCGTTCCGCCTATGTGCAAGAATCCTCTCCTGTGTTTGTTTGGTCCTTCTGGGCAGACAGGCTGCGTGGAAGAAGTGTAGGGTTGTATAGCATGTACCCAGGGCAGGATGAAAAGAAAATGGTGCAGCTTTCATGTAACGGTACCTTGTCTCTCTCACCACGGTGCCATGTGTGGGGTGCGGATGTAGGGTTCTGTGATGTCTAAAGTTAATTTCTTGATGTTTATCTGAGTCGTAAAGAGCCCTGAGATTGACAGATGATAAGCTCTAGATAATATTTTTTTCTGTTTTTTGTGAATGGTCATTTTCCACATCATGTTTGACCTGGTTTGGGCTGGCGTGCTCCTTGGTAATTAGCTGCCTCAATTATTGTGTCTTTTAATTTGCTTGGTATTCATTCAAAAGAAGTGTATCCCCTTTTCCTTATCGTTGTCAAGTAAAAATGTCCCACTTATCTCTGGGAGATACAAAATAGTCAGAGCGTATGCATGGGAAATACCAACCCTAAAAGGCAAAAAAAAATTCCAGTTGATAAGGGAGTGGGAACAGGGACCTTATGAATCTTGTGGCCATCCATGTGTTGGACTCAGTCTGATTCTGTGACTTCTCTTCCATCTGCTGAACTTGCCATTTCATCAGGGAAATGAAGGAAGTCTTAATGCTGAGACCAGTTTAGGGCATCCTTACCCTGCCGGCTCAATGGGTGGCCAAGTGTTCTAACCTACAGGGGTTTGACTCACACTGTTACTAAAGCCTGCCATGCACATCAGTTCTGGACCTGGCTATAAAACAGGAGTGAAACCTCCCTGTTTTGCATAAAGAGTATGAAGAAAGTAGCTCGGAACGGCCTGGGAGGTGCTTGTGAACAAAAAGAGGTGTCTTAGCCAGCAGAACGACATGAAAAACCTCAGGATATCCACAAATCTGGCTATGAACTTCACTCAGCAGTGGTACTGGGTCTGTGTGTAGGCTTCCAAATGAAACAGAGCAGAAAAGATCATTCTTGTCGCCCAAGGCCAGGGCACTCTTGCCCTTCCATCAGGAGATGACACCACTTCTCCAGGAGCAGAAAACACTCTTTATGGAGAAACTGTATCTTTCACAGCATAATTTTTTTGATTTGCATCTTATCAGCAATGCCTTATGAACACCTGAGTTTAGAAAAAGAAAAAAGCTCTGCATCTTATCCCCAGTGGTTATGAACTAGAAGAACAGGAAAAGCAATTATAAGAAGTGGCTTTTTTTCATGAAAAATATATATTAGTTAACCAAAGTATTACTGGATTGAAATAATCTCCTAGCATAGGCAAGACACATACAATGAGGAAAAATTAAGTTTTCATCCAGGGTTGCCAGACCATTAACTGTTAAAGGAAAGAGTTTCATCCAACATCAAAGAGAGGTGCCTATAGGAGGTGGTTGGAGTATCTTCCATGATATCTAAAGGAATTGAAAGGTGGCAATAAAAACCTTTCTGTACTTAGCGCATTATAATTATCAGCAAATATGACAGTAGCAGGACTGTGTCCATAATTA